AAAACGATATTTAAAGCATCTGAGAAACAAATCTTAACATCAAGGAAATATTAAACAAATTGTAATCTCTAGAATTTGACTCTCTGACAGATTTATTGAGTTGAGGCTTTGCGTATTGAAGTGTAGAATCAAGGATCTTTGGTTGATCTATTAAATCACATGAGAATTCAAAGTCATGTCTGCTTCTTTATGAATCAAATGGAGCGGAGACCTAAGGTTTATAGTGTTCTGTGGAGGGAAATTTTAGGGTTGTGCTCCAAACTATGTTGTTTCTATGTGCTTGTTTTAGTAAATCATAGAGAATCTAAGGGCTTTGAGATGTTGCCAATATGGTACTATGTTCTTACTTTGTTACATATACGAGAATCTTAGACACTGGTGCTTAAAAATGTTTAATAATTACATCCCATAATAAAAATCTCTTCACTATTAATCAGTTGTAGGGACCATCAGGACATGCAAAAGGAAGAAACTCATGATTATGTGGATGGAGGCATGGGGTATTGATATATATGACTTGGGAAGAGTGTTTTTTTTTTTTTTTCCTTTTTTTTATTTGTTATATTAGATAATTAATTGCTAGTGACATAAAGATTTTAAAACTCTTACATTAATTTCAAATCAAAATTTTTAAGTTAGTAGATACCAATTCGGTCAATTTCTTGATGATATAATTGGGTGAGTGTAATATAAGATGGTAAGAACAGTTTTTTAAAGGAGGGAAATGGGAAGATTTCACGGGCATTTAGGTGTGGTTTTGAAAACTTAACCATGAACATATGGCTCTAGCAGATGACAGAGCCCTCCTTGCCCCAGTCTTCATTCTGCATCTCTCTAGTCCATGAATGAGAACATTGGAGGTCGGCTGCAGAATACTTCTCGAAAGTTATTGTCGGAAGCCTTGAGCTCTACACTAAAGTAGCTTTCCCAATGTGGCTGCTTGGCCGCTTCAAAATGGAACATACAGAATAAAGTGGAGAGCCATGTAGTCATTTATATAGAAAAATGACACAAAATAGTATATGCACGAAATAATAGAGATTACAACCATAAATAAATATAATAAATGTAGAAAAACTTTCTGTTGAATGAGGCAGCTTCAGATCAATGACTAGATTCTAGACGCTTATTGAGGCATACAACCATATGCAAAAAATAGGCAGAACACACATTTCATGGTATCCACTTTTGAACATCAAATAAGAGAGAACAAAGAAATAATAACAATATGAATTTAGAAGATGCGAAGTGAAGCTCGTGCAAGCCAAAGAACACTTAGTTTGAGAACATGGCTGTTCTAAAGTCGAATTTCCTTCTTTGAACATAGGATTAACTGCTATATATGTTTACCTTCTTTCTGTTATAAGTCTAAGGGATTAGGCATTTAGGCCCAGAAATTAATGACCATTTCTTCTTTCTGTTGCCTTCACCCTTTCTCAAAAATTAAGTGTTTGATTTTTGGAACCCATTTTCCGCAATCAAAACTAAGCTTAAGAGTCCAAATGCCTACCCTTGAAGGACCGAGACTCCTTTTTACTCTTCTTCCATTTTAATGAGCATCAAAAACAAAAGAACTCAGAAAGAATCTGTGATTCAAATTTATGGATGACATTATGACACATGAACACTTTCTGGGTTCTCTTTCAAATTCAGGACCATAAATCTAGCTAGCTAGAGTGATGAGAACATTTCCATTGGCATCTTCTTCAAAAGTAAATTCATCACTCAATGGCTTCGCTTTTTCCTGCCACCACTGAATCAGATTTCCAATTCAAAAATGGAAAAGAAAACGAAGGGCAGCTTTACATTTTTCTAATATAAATCACACCACAGCTGTGCCTTCCACCATTGCTCTCACATTCTGTTACCTTAGTTAAACGTTTAAAGTCAAAATGGTTCAGGCGTCTCTCATGGAAAGTTGCAGTATGATGTAGAGTACAAGGCTCCTGCTGACAAGGTCTATGAGTTATGGAGCTGCAATTTCAGTGACGT